ATCTGAACCCGTGGCCTTGGTGTTATCAGCACCACACTCTCCCGAGTGAGCCACGGGCTGGCCCCTTCTATGCACTTTTTGAAGAACCTTGTTTATTAAACTGTTTCTATGTTTTGCTTTTAAGACACCCACAGCAGAAAACCAGACTCACAGATGTTGGTTGAGAATGGAAGAGATTGTAAAGCAATTTCAGCAAGCTCAAGATGTTTATTTGCAACTTGTATCCAAAATGAACAAATGTGTTTTCAAAATCCATCTTCAATCTTCCATCTGTAGACAGTTCTATCAATTTGTTATGTAAAGATATAGCTAAATTTAAGTTATCTTTTGATGAAAGAAAGGGGTTTTGGATTTTATATACTTTTTACTTTTAGGTTATAGTTGGCAAACCAACCTTAAAATATCACATGATTTTAACGTGTTCCTATAGTATACAACAGATGTGCAACTCACACCACATGCCAATTACCACATGAGTTCAGCAAAGTCTGAAAGGGTCCACACCTTGTTCAGACATCTGGTCCACCAGTCATGTGCTTGCATGTTTGATCAGTGTCAATTTGCTGTAGAAATTCTTACCCTTAACTTCTGAAATTATCTTGTTGGGACTGGGAAAAACAGGTGCAGGAGTGGCTCAAGATTGTAAGTCACAATCTGAATAGCACTGTTCTAGGAGGGTTTTTATCTATATTAAAGTCTGAATTTGAGAACTGAATGCTAAACTCCAGGTCTGGTCTAGTTCAAGGGAAATAGAGCAGGACATCACCTCCCTTATTCTAGATACTTTACTTCTACTAATGTAGCCTAAGTTTAGTGTGTGCAGGTGTGTGTCTGTGCTCCTGTTACTGTTGTCTCAACACTTTATTTATTTTTTTTATTTTTTTATTTTTTTTATTTTTTTTGTCTTTTGTCTTTTTTCGTGTCCGGCAACGGATCGCAACCCTCAGTGTCGCGCCCGTACCGGACCGGGGACCGGCAATGGGATCGCAACCCTCGGGGTCGCTCCCGCGCCTCGCTCAGCCAGTGAGCGGGAACCGGTCCGTATGTGGGATCCAAACCCTCGGGCGGGAGCGCCGCCGCGCTTCCCAAGCGGCGCACTTATCCAGTGTGCCACCGGGCCGGCCCTCAACACTTTAATTGGATCAAAATTCCCTGGTGTTTTCATAGCTGCCACTGTTCTGGCATGTCTTCCTTCCATTTCTGCCCCCTGGCCCCCCAGCTACAGTTCTCTTCTACTTATGTGTGTTTCTAGAGGTGTTCTTCGTGTGAAGGCACAAATGGTACTCTACTAGACCTACTGTTTGCTGCCGTGCTTTTTTCACTAACTATATCTTGGAGAGTCTTTCATATCAGCGTATAAAAAAGCTTTCTTGGGGCCGGCCAGGTGGCGCACTGCTACAGTGCGCCGCTTGGGAGTGTGGTGGTGCTCCCGCCGAGGGTTCGGATCCCACGTACAGACCGGTTCCCGCTCACTGGCTGAACGAGGTGCGGGCGCGGCGCCGAGGGTTGCGATCCCATTGCTAGACAAAAAAAAGACAAAAAAAAAAAAAAGCTTTCTCATTTCTTTTTTTTTTTTTTTTGTCTTTTTTCGTGTCCGGCAACGGATCGCAACCCTCAGTGTTGCGCCCGTACCGGACCGGGACCGGCAACGGGATCGCAACCCTCGGTGTTTGCGCCCGCACCTCGCTCAGCCAGTGAGCGGGAACCGGTCTGTACGTGGGATCCGAACCCTCGGCGGGAGCACCGCCGCGCTCCCAAGCGGCGCACTGTAGCAGTGCGCTACTGGGCCGGCCCTCTCATTTCTTTTTCAGACTACAATGTATTCTATGGTACAGATGTCTCCTATTTGTTTTACCAGTCATATATCAACGAAGTTTCATGTTGTACCTAATCTTTTGCTATATTATAATTGAATAACTTTGCATATACCTCATTTTCCATATTTAGTCATCTCTCCTATAGATACAGTTTTAGGACTGGAATTGAAGGGCAGAAGATATGTGCATATTAAATTTTGTTAGGTATTTATGCCAAAATTATACCTATTCACATTTCCACCAGCAATGTATGAGAGTGCCCATTTGAGGGGGAATTCCTGCCTTTTTTTTGTTAATCATAACTGCAGTTGGTAGAATTAACCAACTGATTGTTTATTTTATAAAATTGATCTAGGACTGGAGGAGTTAAGCTCAAAACAGAGGCTTGTCTAATGACAATAATTAGTCATTGTATTTTTGAGAGGTGGTGTTATCTCACACATACCTAAATTCATATAATAATTATCAGCATCACAATAGGAATCAATTGTGTTTTTTTCAAAAAAACCTTTGAAAGGTTTCATTACTTAATGCAGACTCAGTTAAATTGGAAGCTAAATTGAATGACTTAATCGTATTATTTATAAATGTATTTGTTAAAAATAATTGTGAAGGGGTCATTATTCATTTGCTGCATTAGTCAGACCAAACCTAAAGATTTTTTAATTCTAAAAACGTTTTTGTCAGTGATCCTTATCATTGTCTGTATAGGTAGGGCTTGCCCTCATTTGCAGATGTGACTTCCTCTGTGGAGGTCAGCCCTGGTTCTGTTCAGAAGAAGCTACTTGTTTCTTGTCCTGTGTGTCAGTGTGGTCTGATAGTAGTCCTTAGGTCCTGGCCAATGACACCTATGTCACATTTTGCTGTGTGCTTCAGTGTATCCTTGAGGTAGCCATGCAAGCAGACTCCACTCCAGTGACTTTCTCCTGATAGCTGTGTGGGTGATCGCATTTGCAGTCTGAGGACAGCTATTTCCAGCAGATCACCCCAGCGCTGGGGGAGTGGCTATCCACAAGGGTTTGTCACTCGCTCCTGAGTTTTGCATTTCATACCAGAAACAGCTTATAGTTCACTGAATGTGTCCAGAAAAAAGAAGCCTGCCCTGCTAACAGGCACCACTGTATTCTATGATTGCCAGTTAATTTTGTGATTTTTACTAGACATAATGGTTGGTGTTTAGGTTTTTTTAAAAAAGTGCTTTGGATTTGTTAGAGATGATTGTTTTGACCCTTGTCTCTAAGTCCATGAAACAATAGTATGATACTGGGGTAGAAAAATTCTTCATAGCTGAGATATTTTAATTGTGTTTATTGGTTTCCTGGTGTTAGTGGCCTGTTGATTAGTCTGCTCTAAATTAACACTAAGTCCATAGTACTCAAGAATCTGATTTTTTTGTGTGTATTTAGAGGGCCTTTTGTAAATAATTGGTTAAAAAATATTACTCTAAGGACCATGGAAACTTCTCCCTTATGCATTAAGGGTTTTCTTTCAATGTAAAAATCAATATATAATATTCTATATGATTTTAGAACTCTAAGGTGATTAGGATTCATTTTCATCCGTATGCATCAAATTCAGGATCTCAATTTTCTAACCTCACATTAGATTGTAGTTTATAAATAAAATATGGGCCCAATTTACTATCACTGATGCTGATACTGGTTACTCAAATCGAGCAAGTGAGCAGTTACAGTATTACTATCTGAAGAGAAATCTGTAAACTGTTAAAATACTGTATTTGTGCTAATGTGTCCTTGATTCAACTTTAAGGCAATAATTTAATTAGCAGCAGCAGTGGGCTCTTCTACAGAGGCAACTAGTGTAGTTTAGAAAGAGAATTGGGAAACCAAAACCTTGAAAAGCAAGGAATTTTACAAATAGGCTCCGTAATTAGTTATTACATCTCTGAAAAGGGCTGGCTTCTCTACCTACCTCTGCACTCTGTGGCTTTCTTTCAAATTGATGCCTAAGACTTCCTTAATTTAAAAAAACATCACCATAAGAAAAAAAGGAAGATGTTATGTTTTCTATAAAACTGGTGTCTCAGCTAACCTCTTTCCTGTCTCTAAGCTGTTGGTGGAGATAAATTCCTTTGAAAGCCCAGTTCTAATGTAAAAGGGATAATTGTATTTTAACTAGCAGCTTGAAATGTATCAGTCCATTCAGATGTAGTCTGTTATTCAGAGATACTGTGTTTCTTTTCAGTGCTTTTAGCCCCTAACATACTATTTTTAGTAAAAATACATTTTGTCAGTTAACTAGGCAGCAATACTATAGCAATGCTGGTTAATTAACTGCTTAATCTTAGTTGATGTGAATTCACCTATTTTGGAACTTGATATTAACAAATGATTTTTAAAAAAATTTGTTTTAAAGATGCCCTTTGGTGCCTCTTTGGACCATTCTAGATTATGGTAAATAGAAGTAAGTGCTCAGGTAACCTTTTTTCTGCCCTTCATTATTTTTATGAATCCCGTTATACACATTATATTCTTTAAGATTATTCTTCTTGTTATGACACTTAATCTCCCTCTACTTTTAATCCTCCCACCCACCAAATGTGTAATTATTTCTGTCTACTTTCTTTAGGTTCTATCAGTACCAGTTTTGTCTTTATGAGATAAGGGGATACACTGTCAATGAATATTGGAAGAAAAATCTGGTTCTCTTTTATGCAATGATGCTTTTATGAGACGGCTACTCTATTATTTAAAACGGTATTAAGGAGGCATCTTTATTCAAATAATTTTTAGTGCCTAGTTGGGACTCCGAGAGTTTACCATTTATTCAAAATCAATTTCCATGTATACTGAGCTTGAGAACAGATACTTCTGTATGGATTGCATGGATTGAATCTACTAGTATGTTATCCAATGATTTTTTTTGTTCTCTTTCCAGAAGTCCACATAAAAAAGGCTTATGGATCAGTTTCCTTTTTTCTCTAACCCAGATTTTATATCCCCTCTCTGTTTTTAAGACACCTGCATTTTCCTGAGATAGCCATTATAATCTAACCACTTTATGAAGAGATGCTGGGGTTGACTAGAGTTAAAAATGGAATGGGCATTTTACCCTAACTCCTTGAAGTCATTAGGAAGCAAGGTAAATGAATCGCTATAGTAAAGGCAGGTGTACCTCGCTGGCTGCCAATGTTACTGTCTTCACTTTCTGTAATTATTTTAGGACTTGCTCAGTGCTGTAGAGGCAAAAGAAGCTCTTGAAAGGGAAGTGAAGATCTTCCAAGAAAGGCTGCTTGCTGGCCAGCGGGTCTGGGATGCTTCGAAGCAGGAGCTGAGCCTCCAGCAGAAAAGTTCTTTGGAACTGGAGAAGAATTTGAAGGTCAGTCTGGATGCAGCCGCAGCATCACAAAGCCAGTTCTCCTCATTTAAGGAGAAAATCGCAGCCCTCCTAAGGGGCAGATTGGGCACGACTGGGGTCACAGAAGACACCATTTTGGAGAGGATTCGAGAAATGGGCAGCCAGGAAGAAAGCAGGGAAAAGGTGAGTGAACGATGGCTGCCTACAAGCTTCTTAAGAACAGTGAACGCATTCACTTAGCACACCTAATAACAAGTGATTGACCTGAATTGGTTAAAAGTATAACTTAAATGTGGTTTTCTTCCTTTTAATTGGATATAGTACCTAGGAAGGCTTGAAAAACACTCAAGCAACAGCTAACTACATTGTGGGTTCTTGGGTCAGACCTCCCGGTGCGGGGTCCTGTCCCTACCGCACACTCACTCACTGGCAGCGTGAGCTCGGACAGGTTCCTGAGATTGCGCCTCTAAGATTTTGTTTCCTCATCTGCTGTAGGGGCCTAGCGCAGGCTCCCCAAACCCTTATCTGAAACACTTGGGGCCCAAAGTGTTTTTTCATTCAGATTTTCCAGGGTTTAGAAAGGGAAGATGGTATACAGAAAGGTGATACAGAAAGCAGCTGTACACAGCTCTCCAGGGGAGGGTCTGGGACTGCACCCCATCAGCAACCTGTGAGCAGCTCAAAGTGGGATAAATGAAGACTATAGATAGCCTCGTGTCCCTTCAGGTTGGGGTTTGCTGTCCAACTGGGCCAGGTCAGGCCAGGCTTTATCAGTAAATGAGTTACGAAAAAAACTGGATTTTGGAATTGAGGTTCTTAGACCAATAACTGTATCTACCTGTAAAGGTTACTGTTTATTGTAACTATTAAATGAAAAACATTGTTACAAAGTCCTTAACACACTGTCTGGCACATCACAAGAATAAATATTAACTATTTCTGCTGTTGCCTTTCCTCCCTCTTTCTGTTTTTCATAATGCGTTGATGCCTAGAACCATCTTTTAGGGGACCTGTTTAAAAAATGGGAAAAAATGGTTTAATTTGCAGATATGACTAAAGTTTAATTTTGTCCTCTTGTTTATACTTATCAATAATTTTCATTTTCTATAAAGCTTTACTTAGAGTGAACTTCAGCCCAGACTCTTTACATTATCATCAAATCCAAATTCTTTTTTTTTTGAGACCGGCCGCACCGTGTTCAGCCAGTGAGCGCATCGGTCATCCCTATATAGGATCCGAACCCGCTGCTGCGCTCCCAGCGCCGCACCCTCCCGAGTGCGCCATGGGCTCGGCCCAAAATCCAAATTCTTGAAGTTCTAAATAATGAAGTTTTAAAGTAAAAATGATATCCAAATTCCATGTATAGTTATGAGCTATTTCTTCTATTGATGTCATGCTTGTTTGAAAGAGAAAATGTATTTTTCCAACTTTTAATGTTTCTAGAAAACTCAGAGTGAATGCTAACTCAAAATTCAGGGTTGCACTTGTAAATTTGCTTTAATGATCAAAAAATTTAAATTCCCTTAAAAAATTCTGCAAAATTCATGCATGCTTCAGGAGCAACCCTAGTGGCTCCTTTGCCTCAGTGCAGGGTTCTCTTGTGGATGTAAAGTGTCTGTGCACAGAGGCTTGCTTGTTGGCCGACCTCCACCCTGTAATGCGTATGGGTCCTGAGAGTCGCTCAGGTTTACTTGTGATTCAGTGTACAGAGAGGTGTCCACTGAGGAGGGACTTTATGCATAGGGTCAAGAAAAACTTGATCTATTGAATGGTAACAGATGCCCTTCACTAGCGAATGCCTTTTGCCATTTCATCTTATCGCTTCCCCTCCTATACTTCCAGTTACTTTCCTCAAACTATTTTAATTTCAGCATATGAAGCACTGCATACAACGGTCAGCGTGATGTATATGTTTATTTTCTAAAGCAAAATGATGTAAATTGGTTAAGCTGGATCTGCCTCCTCCCACTCCTCATATAAATTAGAATGATTCAGAGTCTTTTTAGTGCCTTTGTCTGCCTTTCCTACCCTGTAATTTTTTCCAATAGCTGCTCTGCCTATTTAAAAGCCCAAAATCATGCATATAGCTGGTGTCTTGTGTGACTCATTTTCAAGTAAAATCAGGAGAAAATGGATTTCATATATTGTCTTAGAAATGTTTCTGAAGAATGGGAGCTTTACAAATTGATGAATCTGTTTGTTGAGGAGGCTGCGTTCCCTGGCCGCTGCCATGGCTACCTGCACTGTCGATGGCTGAGTCATACCCATGCGAAGGCCCAAGGCAGGTTCAGGCTCCACCTGGCAAATTCCCCACTTCATGCTGACTCCTACTTCTTGAACGTTGCTTTCCTTGTTTACCCCTGTGCTATCCATTTTTCCTCTACTGTATTTGCAATTCTCAGTAGAATTCAGGATACCACCCCCACTTTTTCCATAAGTCATTTCTATTTGTTTCTTGCATTTCTGCTTCTGGCAAAACTTAATTTTCTCTTAAAAGCTTTACTATACCTTAGAGCAGAGTTTCTCAGCCTTGGCAATAGTGACATTTTAAAGTGGATAATCCTTTGTTGGGGGGGGGGCTGTCCTGTGCATTGCAGGATGTTTAGCAGGATCCCTGACTTCTACCCACTAGACACCAGTCGTTCCCCCCTTCCCCCCCAGTTTGTGACAACCACAGATGTCTCCAGACATTGCTACATGTCCTCTGGGGGGGGGGGCAAAATAGCCACCCCCCGATTGAAAACCAGCGTTTTAGTGTTCTACTGCTGAGTTCCCAGGAATTCTAAATGAGCATTTAGATGTTATTTAGCCTTGAAATTTTAGGACACCAGAGCAGATGTTTATGAAATAATGACTTGCAGGATGACAGAAAGTTGCAACATTTTCAGATTTTACTTGGGCATTTTAAGGCAATTTTTTTGTTTTGTTTTGTTTTAAGTATTTTTAAGTGCTTTTAAATGTTTCCTAACTGGCTAATCATCTGGATGAGAACTGATTAGGTATAGGGAGGACACAAGCAGGATTGATTTCTATGTCATTTCCTAAATTAAAGACAAATCAATACAAACTCACATTTATGTGGACAGCTGTTTTGCCCTGATTTAGGCACACCTAAGGTTTTATCTCCTCCACTGGAGTGTTTCTTGACCTAGGGGCTCTGCAGGCGCCGTGGGGATCTGAGATGTGCTCACTCACAACCCACTACTCCCCTTACTGATCTCAGAGCCCCATCGTTATTCTCCTGCTCTATTCTTAATCCTGCGTCCTGCTAAAGTGAATGTTTCCAGCAGCCTTCCACTGACTTTCATAACCCCAATTATATTACATGGTCACCCCCAGCTACAAGGGTGTCTGGGAGAGTGAACAGATAGAGATTTTAGCCTTCCCAGTTTCTGTAGGGGCTGCTGTAATAAAGTACTACGAACTGGGTGGCTTAAGCCACAGAAATGTATTGTCTCACAGTTCTGGAGGTTGGAAGTCCAAAATCAAGGTGTTGGCAGGGTCGGTTCCTTCTGATGGCTGTGAAGACTGTTTCGTACATCTCGCCTAGCTTCTGGCAGCCACAGGCATTCCTTGGCTTATAGATCGTGCTCTTCCTGTGTCTTCACACTCTCTTCCCTCCATGTGTGTCCATCTCTGTGTCCAAATTTCCCCTTTTATAAGGACACTGGTGATATTGGATTAGGGCTTATTCTAATGACTTCGTTTTAACTCCATTACTGCTGTAAAGACCCTATTTCCAAATAAGGTCACATTCTGAGGTACTAGGGGGCTTCAACATATGTCTTTTGGGGGGATCCAATTCAACACCAAACAAAAACTCACTTAGACAAAGGAGGGGGTAAGGTTAGCCAGTCAGCCGCGTTGGCCACGTACTGACAAGAGGGATGGAGAATTTGATTGGTGTGAAGTTCCTGGTACCTGATAACTTATTTTATGTTTTTCCTAAGTGAAAATTATAGCTTGAATAATCAGAAAAGAGTTGTTTATGTTCAGAAGGATATCTGGTCTTTAAGTGACCCAAGTGGCTGTTTCTTCAGTGTAGAGCTCTTTTGCTTCTATTTGGCTTAATCGTAGGGCAAAAATGCCTCTGGTGAAATCAACAAACACTTGTCCTTGGGAAATAAATTAATTCTTTTAGGGCATTATGACTTTACTTCCAGAAACTGTGCTGCTTGTTCTTGATGTATAGTTTACTTCAGTGCCTTTTTGTTTAAAAAATTGAAGTATGTATTTTTTATTACCCCACCTCCCCATTTCCTACACCTCTAATGTTAAAATCCCTGACACATTTTGTCCCACAGCGTATCAGATATATGTTAACAAATGACACTAAAAAAAGGAAAGCAAAGCTTATTTATTTTATAGACTTCTTGGTGTAAAAAACAACACAAGTTTACAGTTTTGGTGGGACACACACGTTCACCAGGCACTGGCATTTAATGTTCCCAAGACCTGAGTCAAATTAGAATGTTAATTTATTCAAATAAATTTATGTAAATTTAACTCTGAAAAAACCTGGTGGTGTATATGCACTGACAGTGAAATAAGCTCATGAAGCTAAGTTCTGTGGTGCCACGGAGGACAGGGAGGTTCTCAGTTATTAGCTCCTCTCTGGACACAAGAATGTTGGCACTGCAGTGGGTAGATTCTGCATGGTTCAGCCATCTACACATTAGTGGCTTAAAAAGTCATTCTCCGCTGAGTTGTCAAGGTTCCATGGAACACCCTTGGGTCCACACAGGATGCAGGTGCAGGTGGGGCCCTCTCACCTTTACTTAAGCCCACTGTCTCTAATTTGTTCTTCCCAGAAAGACTTCCAGTTGGAAAAAAAAAAAAAAAAGCTCTATAGATGAAAATAGTTTGAGAAACATGACATAGGACAATTCCCGAAGGGTTCTTTAACTCTTTCACGGCGAGACCATATGGTGAGAGAGTACAACTGAACCCATCCAACAGACCATAATTCTGATGACAAAAATGGGTGCGATGTGTTGAACTTAATTTGGGTGTGGAATACCATGCTACTCAGATGGTCTAGATCAGCTCACTTCATCATCATAGTAGAGTCTATGAGTTTCAGAGAGGTTCATTACTTGTTTCAGTTAACACTCTGATAAGTGGTATAGTGGGGACAGGGCTATGGGACTCCAAAGCCCCTGTCCCACAGCCTGGTCTACATCAAGCTGTCTGCTTCAGTCCTTACTGATCAGTTTCTACGGAAAGCTTTGCTTTGTTTCAGTAAGGTCTGCAGTGTGCTGACCATGGCTAAGTGATCACACAGTTCTCTCTCTCTCCTGATGAGGTTTTCTGCATCTGTTTTCTCTTTGGGTTCATTCTCTTTGCTAAGTCAGCTGTGGGATAAGAGAAGTATTGAAGGCTCTTCAGGTGGAAATTCTCACTTCTTATGTGGAGACTAATGTAAACCTCATCTCCAGTTGTGCAGAAACACGTGTCATACCTTGAATAACATGAACCAGCCCCCTGGGAGGTAGCATCTTGTGGACATTGTTTCATGGACATTTTTCTGCAGATTAGTTTGCTGTAGGTTAGTTGTACCAAAACAAGCACACCATTTTCTTGCATTTAGATCAGATCTATTCTTAGTAAGTACTGAGAGTAGGAAATACGAAATGAGCCTCATATTCTGTAATGACTAAACATTTCCTTGGGAAATTTAATTCCTCAGATATGGTTCTGAACAGGTTACTATCAAATATCTGATTTCAAACACCTACAGAAGTATAGAATTAACTGAATTATAGACAGAGACCCTGAGAGCCGTAGAAGCACAGGACTGGAGAGCTGAGAGCTCATGTAGTCTAACCTTCTTTGTGTAGCACCTGAGTCTACCCTGGAATATTCTTAACAAATAGTTGGCCAACTTCTGGCCATCTCCAGTGACTGGGAATCCACTACCTAGTGGTCAGTGTCTTCAGACAGCTCTAATCATTAGAAAGTTTTCCCTTTCCTATAAAGGAATGCTTAAGTAAATTATGACACATTCTCACAACAGATTCTTAATGCTAAATAAAAATTATAAATGGCATGAGGAGATGCTTAAAATATAATTAGGTAAAAACAAAAGCACAAAGTTGCATATATATGCGACTATATTTTAAGAATGCATAAAAATAAATTATTTAAAAATTAATAGCTGTTGCCTCTGGGTGGCGGGATGATGGGGGATTTTTTTTTTTTTTTTTTTGCTTATTTATAATTTTTTTTTGTCCTTCATGAGTATTTCATAATGGGCATGTCTTATCTTACAGGAACTGGGGAAAAATTCTCCCTTACGTAGATGTGCACTTCATTCTCTGACTTATAACTATTGACTGTCAATCTAAGTTCTGAGGGCAACTCAGAACGAATCTTATTGTTCTTCCATATAATAGCCTTTCAGAAAATTTGAAGACAGCTTGAATGTCTTCTTGCCTTTAAGCATGATTGTTTATAGATAGGCAGGGGTTTTTTTTTTTTTTTTTTTTGCTTATTTATAATTTTTTTTTGTCCTTCATGAGTATTTCATAATGGGCATGTCTTATCTTACAGGAACTGGGGAAAAATTCTCCCTTACGTAGATGTGCACTTCATTCTCTGACTTATAACTATTGACTGTCAATCTAAGTTCTGAGGGCAACTCAGAACGAATCTTATTGTTCTTCCATATAATAGCCTTTCAGAAAATTTGAAGACAGCTTGAATGTCTTCTTGCCTTTAAGCATGATTGTTTATAGATAGGCAAGCAGAAATTGTTTTCTTTTTTAAAATTTAGACTGTAAAAAATCCAAAGCAGTCAAGATGTTTCAATTTCTGTGAGATTGGTACTGTAGTGTTATGTCATGTAAATATCTACTACTTTTCCCCTTTCCCCTTCCAAAATAAACCATCAAAAGAAAACTAATTTATCACCCCAGACTTGGTGGTTTTATTGAATTCAATGTTTTATGAAAACTGGATTTAGTGAAATCAGTTTGAGTATTCTGAAAGTGTACGTGAGGTCTTTGGTAAATTTATGCTTTTGGTTTAAGGAGGTGATCAGGACAGAGAGGAACTGGGAAAGATGGAAGCACTGGGCAGATTAGGGGGGTTGTGGAGAGCCTCAGAGGGCTTTGATGAAGGGGCAATGATTTTATGCTATTGAGAAAAAGACGGTAATCCGATTCCCTTGCCTTATTGTACATTGCCATTGACCCTATTGAGAGTCTCTGCATTAAAGAGATTTTGACCCTTCAAATGCTAAAATGGCATTTACTACACAACTATTTAGTGTAGAGTGAGTACCGCTAGAGTTTAGGGCATGAGTAACCAATACTCAATAGAAAGCTGAAAAAAAAAGTTTGAAAAAATGTATTTCTGCATTTGAATTCCCCATAAAATCTCAAGGTTACTTGTCAAGATTAACTCACTGTATAATTTTTAATCAATTATATGTGGTGGAAAAGTTTCTCTGGAGAACGACTCTTCTGTAGATTGAAAAAATACTTTTGTTGTCACTCATTTTTCAACTAAGCTTTGAAACTCCTAAATTAAGGGCAATTTTGGAGGTAAGTAATTGTCATCCATTAATATTTATAGATTAACCTGTTGAACAAATGATATAAAAATGAAAAATACCAATCAGAAATATTTTTATTCGATAATGAATGCAGATTTATTTCAAGCAGAGGATAAAATAAAATTTAAAATTTATTTCAAATACAGCTATCAATTACCTATTTTAAATTTAATTTTTTACAAAGAATTTGGAAGCTGGTGTCATACATAGTTATGCTGCTTAGGCTGAGCGCTAGATTTTAACACTTTGTTGCTTCTAAAACAAGGCTTATCCTTGTTCTGTTTCTTTGTTTCCAGATGGTCTCCCAGCTTGAAGCCCAAATATCTGAGCTTGTTGAACAGTTGGGAATTGAAACTGAGCTTCACCAGAAAGCTCTACAGAGGGTCCAGAAAGCAGAAAACAAGCTGGAGACTCTTCAGTCTCAGCTGACATACCTGGAGGGAGAGCTGGTTTCTGGAGATGTTTTGCAAGACTCCATGAATGCTGAGAAACAAAAAGTAATAACCTTAGGACATGTCCATGGCTGGAAACATCTGTGGCAGTATAAAATTTTACCTGAAAAGATTGTGAATTTTACAGTATTTGAATTGGTTAAGTCCTGGGTCATGAGCAAATTTCAAGGAACAATGGGTCTCTTCCTATTGTCTAATGATTCTTGATTCAAATTAATTCAGTTAAATTCAACAGGTGTTTATTGAATGCCTATTAAATATGAGGTCCTCAAGGTTCAGAGGGCTAAAGCATAAAACATAGTTCCTGATCTTAAAAGGCTCATCTTTCAGCAGGGGAGACAGACATTCAGAGGATTTGCTGTACTATAAGGCTATAAGTGTTATAATAGAAGTGTGGAATTAATGAAGTGCTGTAGAAACTTCTGCATAAAGGGAAGATTCTACAGGGAAGAAGATAATTAAGTTCGTCTTTGAGGGATAAGTAGGAGGGTAGTAGAGAGAGCGGCGGTTTGAACAAAGGCATGGAATCTGCAAACGCCTGGTGTGTTCAGAGAACACCGAGTGCTTAATCTCACACGGCTGGAACAGGGTATTCTTGCTGGGGCTATGGCAAGAGAGAAGACTGGGAGACTGGATTATGAAGACGGAGTACTCTTTATTCTGTAGAGTATGAAATGTAATAAATGATTGTGAGGATCACAGTATTTTAGAAAGATAATGTGATGTCTCTGAGGAGCTGAGATTGCAGAGTGGAGAGACTCAGACACGATGGTGCTGATAACCCGGTGGGGGAGGAGGTGGGGTGGGGAGAGCAGGGTCCACACCGAGGACTGGAGTGCGGGAGGTCACCGGTGACCTCCGAGAGGCAGTTCTGGTAGGGTGGTGGAGAATGGAGCTAGTTCGCTTTGGGCGGAGAGGTGACTAGAAAAGGAAGCGGGAGAGACTTCTGAGTAGACCACAGTGAAGTCTGGACACCAAAGAAAAAACAGGCACAAGGCAGTAGCTGTGAAAAACAGGATCAAAGGAGGGTTTTGTTGGATGAAATGGGGAGCTAAGAGTTTGTGGGCTGTAGCCCAGCAGCCACTGAGGTGAGCTGAGACCAGACCCTTGTGACACCGGGGTCCAGTCTAAGGCCTTGGGGGGGGGGGAGGGAAGCACACACAGCCCAGCAGCCACTGAGGTGAGCCAAGACCTGCACAGCACCAGGGGCTCAGTCTACAGCCACAGAGTTTGTGGGCTGCAAGTCCATAGGAAGGAAGGGATCAAGAGCACAGGTGCAGAACTTGGCATGAAAAATACTACACTTGAGAAACTCATTCATTTTCATTCTTCTGTACTTGAAAAAAACCAAGGAAGCAGCATGCCTACATTGCGGGTTGGATATGCAAAGATGCACAAAAGGGCTGTGCACAGTTGTAGTCTAGTGGCTGAGACAACTAGAGCTATAACAGAGAGAAGTATGAATTTGACAGGAGCTCAGAAAAAGGAGTGATGACTTCTTTCCTATTCCCAAGTTGTGCGGGAAGGAGCTGTCTTCACAGGAGGGGTGATGTTTGAGAGGGGCCTTAAAGAATGAGTAGGAATTTGTCAGGCAGGAGAGGTAGGAAGGAATTTGCGGTGGAGGGAACAGGAAGGAATCGAGGTGGGAGAAGATGTCTCAGGAAATGAATGAGGTGTGCGGAGCCTGGAACATGGTGCTTGGTGAGGTCAGAGATGGGCGCCGGCACCAGAGGCAGGTGCAAATAATGGAGACAGGGCAGGCTAACTACTTGGGCTTCATCCTATGGGTAATGGGAAGCCACAGAAGGTTTTTGAGTAAAAGAAAGGTTTTTCTTGAGGCAGACTGGCTTGGAGGGTCTAGAGACTAGAGGTAGGGAACCTCGTCTGGAGCTTCCTAGAATAGTCTACATCAGAAGACAATAAGGGTCTGGACCAAGTAGTGGTTTTGTAAATAAAGACGGGATAAATTTGAGAAATTTGGGAAGGTGAAGGGACTTTTTTCTATTAAATATTTTATTTTATTTTTTATTATTTTATTTCCAAGATTGCTGAACCACTTTACATTCACATCAACAATGTATGAGGATTCCAATTTCCCTAATTCCTCTCCAAAACCTGTTACTGCCTCTCTTTTTGACTGTAGCCATATAATGGATGTAAAGTGGTATCTCATTGAGGTTTTGATTTGCATTTTCTTAATAACAAATGAGCATCTTTTCATGTACTTATTGGCCTTTTCTATATCTTCTTTGGAGAATTGTTTATTTAAATCCTTTGCCCATTTTTTAATTGTTTTATTTTTCTATTATTGAGTTATTAGAGTTCTTTATAATTCTGAATACAAGTCCCTTATTATATATGATTTGCAAATATTTTGTCCCATTTAGTTGTCTTCTAATTTTCTTTATAGGGTCCTCTGGCACAGAAAAGTTTTTAATTTTTTTTTTTTTCCTTTTTGTCTTTTTTCGTGTCCGGCAACGGATCGCAACCCTCAGTGTCACGCCCGTACTGGACCGGGACCGGCAACGGGATCGCAACCCTCAGTGTTGCGCCCGCACCTCGCTCAGCCAGTGAGCGGGAACCGGTCTGTATGTGGGATCCGAACCCTCGGCGGGAGCACCGCCGCGCTCCCAAGTGGCGCACTGTAGCAGTGCGCCACCGGGCTGGCCCCTATTAAATATTTTAAAAGGTGTGTTGGTTGAAACTTTGATTTTGAAAAGAAATACTGCAACTGAGAACAGTACGGTAAATTGGTAGCAATCTAACTGCCTACTGGACAGCTCCATCTAGATGGTCCATGAACACCTAAATATATTCAAAATTGAAATGACCTCTCCTCACATTTGTCCCTCTCCTGCTTCTGTGATGGCAGTAATCTGCCTCCATTTACCCCAAACATCTTCCCTGCTTGCCAATTTCCAGTCAGTGCCTAAACCCTGCACATCTCGTCCCCTCGCGACATCTCCACCTGCCCCCCATCTCCATGCAGCAGCAGCGTTTCAGCTCCACGCCTTGTGCTAATTTGTGAGGACTGTGGAAACAATCTTCTAATTGATCTCCTTGCCCTGGTCTCCACACTTGAAGTTTACTCTCCCCAATGCTGCCAGAGAGGTCTTCATAAAATGCATGTCTAATGTTCTCTTTCTCCATCTTGAGAGTGCTCAGTGGCTCTCTGTGGCCCTCAGGACCAGGTAGATTCCTTCTTTTCCCACGGATCCACTTTCCGTGAGCTGGCCAGTTCCCCTCTCACCTGCAACCTCTCCTGCCAACTGGGGCAAACTCAGAAGCCTCCAGGGACCAGTAGGGTCCTGGCAGGGTCTGTTGTGAGTGACTGCTGAGCCTACATGCAGATCTGTAACTACATTGCTTTGGCCTCGTTGGTAGGTCATAGTTTACACAGCTAGTCTCACTGATGGAATGTCTCCTCGTCTTCTTCACCTGGTAATCTCTGTCCCTTTGAGACTCAGCTCAGACATCACTTCCTCTGGCAGTCTTCCTCATGCTCCCCAAACAGCATGTGCCTGCCTCTGTCATGGCACCTCCCACCCTAACTGGGTGGTTTTAAAATTTTTCTTCTCCAAGTATTCCAAGCTTCTTGAGGTCAGGGGAAATCCTTTTCTTCTGTCTTTCTCCAGGGCCTAGAGTAAGAGTCAATACAAATTATTTGAAGTACAGAAGAAATAGATCAAAGGCAAGGATTTCAGGTGGATTGGTGTTTCTTCCCTGCCCTCAGTATAAGTGAATCATTAATTTTAATTGGAATTATCCCAAAATAACTCTCAGTTATGAAGGCAAATTACACAAACTGATTCTGTCTGTGGTGAATTTTCCATAGATAACTGCATATGAAATGCATATTCTAGTAAGAATAGTATCATGTAAAATTGAAAAACAAAGTTGTATAGAGTTTAAATGCTAAATTCAGGGAATCTAGGCTTGCACAAAATAGAGCAGAAGGCACAGTTTCTTAGTCATGCTCAACCGTGATTCGAATGGACAAAATATACAGTAATCCTTCACTTCTATGGAGTTACGAGTTTCTAGAAACCTCGATCTTCTGAGCTATAGCCAAGATCCTTGAAATAGGCACTTCCTCTTTTGGGTCTTGGCTTGGTCTTGTCTTAATTGTTTTTTGCCTGTTGTGATCCTTGTATGCTAAGTGGAGGGTCACATGTAGAATAGAGAAAAGAAGCTTTCATACCTTCACATAAATGGTAACGACTCTATTTTATGTAAAGTACAAGCAATAGCTGTTAGGTCACTTTCAAACACACAGATTAGAAAATAGAAGTTCCAAAGAGAGAGCTGATACTGCATTAAGAGGTGATAACCTATGATGCAGAGACTAAAGCAACCTGTAGTGTCGTAGCACAATACAGTAAGCGATATTAGTAATGACTGTCTTATAAAGAAGAGATTAAATTGTATTTATACAATTTATAGGCTATTTAGAAAAATTGAAAAAATACACTTACAAATAATTTCATCCTGATGATTAGAATATAGATAGTTCTGGACTTTAAGCTAGTATGCTTCAGTTGGCAGGAAATTATACTTATTTAAACATTTAATTTCCCCAAAATGCTAGATCGATGAGACATTATTGCAAGGAGAAGAAAATATCAAAGATAAAGACCAAGTCATGAAATTATGACACAGAAAGCTCATTAATTGATTTACTCATGCAGCAAGCACTTAGTAAGCATTGTTGTGTCTGGGCACGGTGGCTACGTCACAGAAGCCCAGTGAAGGAAGACGCTTCCACAGCTTTGTAACTTGTGTCTGGTGAAATGTGAGCCTCGGCTTTCTTCATACAGTTCTATTTTAGGATGTTGTTCATTTAACTTTGATGCATCAAACACTTTTAAACACTTTTTCTAAAGCATTTTAACTTAAAAAAAATGTTTTTCAAATTTTGTTTGTCTGGAGAGCCCAAGAAGAGTAAAGTGGCAACTGGTTGAATTGCCCATTTCCAGCTTTGAGGCCAGGGCCCAGTTAGGTGGGAAAAATTCCCATGGAAGGTGCATGAATGATGGGTAGATAGCAGGGGCTGGATTAGTTTGGTAGGGGTGTGGCTGGAGCTCGTTGCCAACACAGAGAGATGAGGACGCAATTGGGAACATAGCCACGTTTGTCATGTGGCAGGGTTAAGAAGAGTGGATAACAGAATGAACATCAAGGTCACTGACCAGGAGAGTCATGAGTATTTGGACCAGAATCAGGGCAGAGAATTGGTAGGGTGGTTCAGAAATTCATCAAATATTGGGATCAGAGTACAGTTTCCATGCTGGGTTTAAAGAGAACTACCTGTAAGCTTGAGAGAAAGAGAAAAATTCTGTGAGATCACCCATTAACTTTACTTTTGTGTGCCATTTTTTGTTTTTGTTCTTTGGTTTAGTATCTTAAATTTCTAGATCAGCTTTCAGAGAAAATGAAACTGGACCAGATGGCTGCTGAACTTGGCTTTGACATGCGTCTGGATATAGTTTTAGCTCGCACCGAGCAGCTGGTCCGTCTTGAGAGCAATGCAGTCATTGAAAACAAGACTATAGCCCACAATTTACAGAGAAAGGTAGGGGACATTGAAACTTGCTAGTATTGAAAGAAAGAATTTCTGAAAAACCTAAATATTGAAAAATAATTTACCCCAATCATATTTACCATTTATAATAGGAAACATTCTAAAAATAAGTATTTAGAATTTGAGGCTCAATTTCAAGTCTGAAGAGTTGGTAAATATGTCTGTCACTTAAAGTTATGTTTCACTGTGAGTAAGAGAGGCCCACAAGAACAGTGGGTTAAACAAGTAGAAGTGTTTTTTCCTTTCTTCCCATGAATTTCTGGAGATAGAGCACTTAGGGCTGCGATGGCAGCTCTGCTCTGTAAAGTCTTCAAGGGACCAGGCTCATTTCAGGTCATTGATTTTTCCATTCCTAGGGTGGCCCTTATCCTCCTGGCTCAAAATGGTGTGCAGAACTATCTTATCTGTATTGTAGGCAGAGGATGAGAAAGAGGTGAGGAAGAGTGTAAAAAAGTACATGCAAGAGGTGTCTTTTGAAGAAGGCACCCAAATTTGTTACGTGGACTGTGTTTGTACCCCACGGCCAGAATATGTTCTGATAGTCAAACATAGCTGCAAGGGAGGCTTGCTAATGTATAATATAGCCTTACTCTGGGTAGCTATTTGCCTAGTTAGAAAAAATTCCACAGTTTCTCTTACTCCAGGAGAAGAGAACTGGGGGAACAGCTATCAGTCTCTGCATTTATAAGCTCTATTGGACTAGAAGTAGAGAGAAGGGCTTACTTTTCACTCACTGGAAGGAAGAGTTAGAAACAGTTTAGACTAAATAAATGAATGAATGGATGAAAGGGATAAAAATATAATTATTAATGGTATAATTAGTGGTATTGGGGCAAGAAAGGAAAACACAGATGTGTCCTTATAACAGTTCTTAGGAGAACAGTCCATGGTAGAATTCTAGTGTAGAGACTGTAAGGAGTCACATCTGGATTCCTAATTTGGCTCCAACAAACTGAGTGACCTTGGACAAATTATATGTTCTTCTGTCTCTATTTCCTCATATTTAAGATGGGGATAATACCTGCCTAAGGGGTTATTAATTTTTAATAAATAACATTTTTGAACCGTTGGCTCACAAAAGATGTTCTATTCACCTTTAGCCTCTTCTCCATTTACTGCATCTTGAGGAATAGTTTGTAAAGGAAAGCAGATAAATCTTGTTACCATTAAATTGAGCTACAATTCTTTGTAAAGTTCTTAGATATTGATTTTCATTCTCAATATCCAACACCATTCCTTCTTAAGTATTACAAAATTATTAAAATTACCAGTGTTTGGAACTTTCCAGTGTAAATTTATAATAGAGTGGAATTTGACATGAAGAAGATCAGGAAAGGAAGTTTGGTTAGAGAACTATTAAAAGGGCCTTGTTAGAAAGTGATCTGGGTGTGGGCACAGCTGTCACTTTTATGCAAGAAACTCGAAGCAGCATTTTAGTAAGTCCTTCCCACCTTCTAACACTTTACAAATGCAGAGTAGATAATTAGGAAAAATGTGACGATCTTCAGCTTGAACATTCACTAATTCTACATGATTCTGATTCCCAATGTATGTAACAGATGACAGAGGTTTCTGTATTTAATATTAATATTCTGCTCATTAATTGTGATATGTGGAGCCCAGGAGGATTTTTTTTTGTCTTAGAGTCCATAGTCATTTTCTAAAAATTGCTCAAATTTCCTTCATCAGGTTTGATTGCCAATGATAGGCACTGTTTGAGGACCTTGTTCTCTGCCTGTTTTGTAGATTTTATAATGACAGGCAAATAACAAAGACACCCTTGAACTAAAACCTTCTTAAAGACCCTCTATTTCTAAGATTTTAAATGTATGAACAGAGCTTTCTTAAAAATCTTCTTGGTATATCATACTTTAAAAATATATAACCTCTCATGTTGTATGCTACTCAGCCCAGTTGTAAGGGATTGAAATTAGCCAGTCTAGGTTAGCAGTACTAATTTGAACACTCTATCTTGTTTCAGAAAACACCAGTGCAGGTATTGTCACCACGGGATGTTGGAGAGGATTTTATCTTTCTGTCTTATTATATTCTGCTCTTGATAACCCCATTTTAGTAGTTTTAAAAGTAATTTCACATTTTTATTATGATGCACATAATGTTGGAGAAAATCAGATGTTGAAAGCCGACTCCTTTGCACATTTTCTGTGGCTCTTTTGTCCCATACTTTACAGCTACAAAATTAATTCTTGGAAAAAAATTTGAATAAAAAATGTAGTCAGGAAAAGGAATTCAATGACCTTTTTCATTGAGTTACAAATTAGCCTTATTGAAGTGGAGATAAAGATCAACATTATCTGGATAATTCATTTGTATTTACTGACCGCTCAATTATTTTAAAAAGTCCCTGTTTGTATCAAACCAGCTAAAGGCTCAGAAAGAAAGACTGGAGAGCAAAGAACTGCACATGAACCTCCTTCGGCAGAAAATAGCCCAGTTGGAGGAGGAGAAGCAGGTGCGCAAGGCCTTGGCCTTGGAGAGGGACGAGGCCCATCTCACCGTCAGTAAGTTAGAGAAGAAGCTGCAGAGGCTGCAGAAGGAGCTGAGCACGTGCCAAGAATCCAACACTGAGCTCAAAGCCAAGCTGGCTGACACCAATGAGCTTAAGGCAAGTGCTCGCCTTCGTTTCTGCTTTTTCTAGTTACCATCAAAGTGATGCAAGAGAATGGTAGCCTTATAGTGGGCACATCAGAAAAAAAAAAAAAAAAGAAAAAATATGAAAACTTCCTTTGATTTTCTGGAATTGTGGAAAAAATACAAAAATTACACAAATCAGAATATTACATAAATTTAGTGTCTCCAATATTTGAAGTGAAGCTGTCATTGTTGTGTGTGAGATCAGTCAAGAAGGGGGTGATGTTAAGCACAGAAAATAAAAACACTTCTTCAGAGTGTGGGTGACTGAGCCATTAGGGATGATGTGGAGATTTATCACACAGCAATTGGCTTAGGAAGAAATGACAAATGGATACAACTGTTTGCTGGGAAGGGTCAGGCAGGCAATGGTACTTATGTTGTGCCCTGTAGGATACATCATACTGAGTGTGGTGCGGGGGGTGTAGAGGGACAGGTAGTCCCTGGCTTCCAGGTGTTCAACTTCTAATTAATACAAAGAAGAAAGAAATGAAAACTTACAAGAATTTAATCAAGATATTTAAATGTCATGCATGTGTGCCACTGGCAATAACACGTACCTTACTACGCACACATCGTCCCCACCACATACATACTGTGAACACAGTGGAAGATAACATCCTGGCTCTTTGCAGATGAGTGCCCTGAAACTGACTTTTGGATTGTTTCCAAATCTGCAAGCAGACCAGTAGGGAAGAAGAATCTGGAACTAAGCCAGCCCTTGAATATGTGTAGCAGGGACAATATTTCAGAAATATTTCCCACTGTATTTTCCCTTCTGAGTAATTAGCTCTTCCCTCCCTGAAGCCCTCCTGCCATCAGGATTAGGTCACCAAATTGAGGCGTGTTTCCCTAGAGAAGGGGAGGGCAGGCATGGCCCAGAGGAGGGGACATATCTGAATACAAAAAAAGGGGAAGCAAGGGAAAGCTCTGAGGGGGTGCCATGGTGGGAGAAAACATCAGAGGAAAGTATCTTCAACACCCCCTCACACCTCGAGACTGACCTGGGGTGGGGTGTGTAGAGGGGGTGGGGGTGGATGGAAGCCCCATAGTCAGCATCAGCTGCTCCCACTCTGGCCGGAGGGGGCTGCAGGAGGTGCTGAGGCAAGGTGCCTAGTTTGCACCCCTATTCCCTGGAGCTGGGAGTGTGTGCTGTAAGGACGGGACAAAGTGGCCCTCCATCAGAGGCTCTGGGGCAATCACCTAAACTATGATCCATGCCAGTTACAGCTAAGCTTCGAAAGAGCAAAGGGCAATGACAGGGACTTGACTCTGGTGAGTGAAACTTCACAGATTTCACTAGTCACATAGCAGATAACGGGAGAGATGTAGGGGCAGCATGAAGACCAGAATCATCTGTCCTAGCACGTCAATGATTTTCCTCCACCAGACACCATCTCAGGAAGGAGGGGAGGGAAGAATTCCCAATAGGTTGAGTAATGCATGAATGAAAACAAATTTTAAACTCGAGGAGATACGGTTGGTTGCAAATACCAGCTGCTCTAACAGTTTGGGGTGATGGTGGTGGGGAGTTGGTTCCTTATTTCCAAAGGACTGCACAGATTATGCTAAAGTCAGTGTGGCTGGAATCTTGTATCAGCTGCTCCTGCCTGCAGGAGGCACAGCTGTTCGTCTCCAGGCTGGAGGTGCCCACCCCTCTCTGACTTCCTTGCTTATGGGGCTATGGGAGCACTACTTTGTTAGAGAGAATAAGGGACCCTAAATACTTCCAAGGAAGCCAGGAAGGAAAAGCTAAAGAAATGGAAATCAGTGTAAAGACAGCTCATAATGGGGGGATGTCACGGAACAAAAAAGGGAAGGGAACTTTGCAATTATAGCTAAGGTGCAACAAAACCTTTGAAAACAAAGCAAAAGGTTGGGCTCCAGAAAACAGTAAGGAGAATTTATAGACCTGACCTAATACTTTTGAAGAGTCCCTCTTACCCATAGGGAGGAGGTTCTGTGTAGACACGGTATGGCTAATCAAGAGCTGTACAGTCTTTCTTGAACACATATTGAAAAAATGCAATCGTCTTCTGTATCTTTCTGATAAAACTTGCCAAGACTTCACAAATATAGATCACTTCCCAATGCTGTCATGGTTTTTAGCACAACATTGCTTCTGATCAAGGAACAATAGATTGGATTAGAGGATGCTAATGCATGGCAATTAAATGCAGTGACACGGGTGAATAGAAGGTCTAACTGGTTGCTGATGGCATCATGGTAATTTCAGGGAGGCAGGGAGTGATGGAAGCAGCTGGGCAGTGGGCAGGGGCCAGATCACAAGGGCCTCGTATGCCATGCTAAGATGCTTGGACTTATCCTCCGGGTCCTGGGGAGCCATAGGAGGATTTTAAGAGGGAGGGTAAAATTGTCAGGAAAGAGACTGAAAAGAAACAGAGAGATAGGGAGAGAGCAGAGGTCTTCAGAATGAGGCTCTGACCCATAGTATCCAGTGCAGCAATATGATAAAGCCTAGGGGAATATCTCCTACTCTCGGCTCTGGAAAATCAGTGACTCAAGCCTGTATAGTAGTGGGTTGTCGTGGTGGTGGGTGAGGGCTTTGAGAACAAGCCAAGTTTTAGTAGGCTGAGGGATCAAAGGAAGTGGAAACAAAGACGATGTGCTACTCTTCCGCAATACTTGGATGGAAAGGGGAAGAGAGTAGGGAAAGTAAGTAAAGTTGGCTTCTGTGTTTACTTTTTTGTTTTATTTTGGATAAACAGATCCACACCTGTTTACAGATAAGATTTAGGAAAAGTATAGGAGAGACTGGGTTTGACTGACTCAAGAACTGCTTAGGCCCCTAAATGTTCAGATACAATGCTAAGTCTGCCTTCCAGTGGAGAATAGAGATCTCTGTAACTTACTAACACAGTGAATGCCAACTTCATGCATTTATGAGATTTCAGATGCAAAATAGCTTTTTATTTTTTTATTTAAGACACCTGATATTAGTGTCCAAGACAGACTAATGACACCATCTATCCATCTTTGTACATTGCCCAAGCTTGTCCTATATGAATTTCACTATTCATAAAGAAACATTTCTGAACATTAGCAAAAATGGCCTTACTGTATTAGTTTGTTAGGGCTGCCCAATTACCACAAGGTGGGTGTTAGTAGAGCAGAAACTTATTCTGGAGGCCAGAAGTCTGAAACCAAGGTGCTGATGGGCTTGATTCCTTCTGGAGGATCTGAGGAAGAACCCATTTCATGTCTCTCTCCTAGCTTCCTATTGCTTCTGTGAAAAAATTGAGTTAAAAGATAATACGAATCCTTCCATGAGCTTTTTGAAGACCCTTCATATGTAGACAGAGATTTATTTCAAGGAATTGGCTCACATGCTTATGGAGGCTGGCAGGTCCAAAATCTGCAGGATGGGCTGTCAGTCAGGAGATCCAGGAAGAGCCATCATTGCAGTTCAAGTCTAAAGTTGTCTGCTGGTGGAATTCTGTCTTGTTCAGGGAAGGTCATTCTTTTGTTCCACTTAGACCTTCAACTGATTGGATGAGGTCCACCCACATTATGGAGGGCAATGTGCTTTACTCAAAGTCTACCCATTTAAATGTTAATCTCATCTGAAAACACCCTTGCAGAAACATCCAGAATAATGTTTGACTAAATCAGGGCACTGTAGCCCAGCGAAGTTGACACATAAAATTAACTGTCACAATTCCTTTTTATGGGTGAACAGTGTTCAATTGTGTGTCTATATCACATTTTGTTTGTTCATCCAGCATTTGATGGACATTTGGATTGTTTCCACTTTTTGGATATCACTAATAAGGCTGCTATGAATATCTGTGTGTGGGTTTTTGTATGCGTTTCCATGTCTGTTGCAAAACCATGGTTGAGGACCTTGACTCCTAGCTTATCCAAATCTCTGCCTTTAATATCCATGCAGTAAAATTTCCCCTGAATTCTAGATCAAGAAAAAGTAGACCTTTTCATATGAACTAGTAAATTTTAATTTGGCAGGCAAACAATCCCCTACTTGTGTTGAGTTAAAATAATCTTATTATAATATTTCTTACTTATGTACAAACTTAAAACTATATAGAAATTTCTTAATCTTTTTACATATTTACTGTTAAGAAATCATAACCCATTTAGAAATCAAAACAAAAGATAAAAATAGAATAAAAAAATTAGTGATATCAATTCATTATAATAGATTGTTATTTTACTAGAATCACCATTAACAAGAATGTGTAGCACTGACTGCCCACGGTGCAGGTTCATTTGCGTTTCACATGCTTATAGTTTATTTTCCCTAAGGATAGAGCAATTATTCCACCATGTGTTCTATTTTACTACTGCAGAGACTTTATTTGTACATATGCCATGATATAGTTTGGCCTTCACTTTGCATGAACATATTATTTATGTATTAGCTGTATCTTTGCTCTTTTCTCATTAACCTAGGATAATTAAAGCAGTGCTACCAGATGGCACAGCAGATCTTTACACACAAATGTATATGCAGGCACTGAAACCAAGTGGCAGAACTCCAGAGGATGTGGAAAATGTGTTGCATAACTCCTATATGCCAGATGCTTCATGGCCTGCCTCAGTTATGATTAGTTTCAGCTGAGTATATCAAAACACCCCATAACATCAGTGGCTTAGACAGGAGAGACATGCATTCCTTTCTCACTGAAAAGAAGCGTGGCAGTAGACATTCTGTGTTTTGAAGGATAGCTCCACGGTCATCAGCAGCCCTGGCTGGCTGTCCTCTGCTCCAGCACCTAGTGGTAGCTTTCATCAACACCACCTCTTAGCTCAAGCTAGCTGCTGGGGCTCCAGCCTCATTCCAGTCACCAAGCAGGAGGAAGGGTGGAAGGACACCTGTGTGCTGCTTTCTAGGAATGACACACTTCTTATGTCTCCATTGGCCAAAACTTAGTTCCTGGATCTCATTCAGATGAAGTAAGCGTGAGAAATGGGTCTTTATTCTGGGCAGTAAGA